TTCTTTGCGTTTTCTGATTGCCGTGGCTAGGATCTCCAGAACATTGTTGAATAAAAGTGGGGATAGTGGGCATCCTGGTCTTGTTCCTGATCTTATAGGAAAAGCTTTCAGCTTCTCACTGTTAAGTATGATATTGGCTGTGGGTTTGTCATATATGGCCTTTATTATGTTGAGGTAGTTGCCCTCTGTACCCATTCTGTTGAGAGTTTTTATGATGAATGTGTGTTGAATTTTGTCTAATCCTTTTTCAGAATCTATGGAGCTGATCACGTGGTGTTTGTCCTTTTTGTTGATGTGCTGGGTGATGGTGATGGATTTTAGAATGTTGTTCCATCCTTACATCCCTGGGATGAATCCCTCTTCATCAATGATAGATGATGTTTTTGATGTATTTTTGAATTCAGTTTGCTATTATTTTGTTGAGTATTTTTCCATTTATGTTAATGAGGTATATTGATCTGTAATTTTCTTTCTTTGTGGTGTCTTTTCCTGATTTTGGTATTAGAGTGATTTTGCCCTTGTAGAATGAGTTTGGAAGTATTGCCTTCTCTTCTACTTTATGGAAAACTTTAAGGAGTATGCTTATTAGGTCTTCACTAAATATTTGATAAAATTCAGCAGTGAAAGCATCTGCTCAGGCGTTTTGTTCTTACGTAGTTTTTTGATTACCAATTCAATTTCTTTGCTGGTAATTGGTCTATTCAGATTTTCTCTTTCTTCCTGGGTCAGCCTTGGAAGGTTGCTTTTTCTAGAAAGTTTTCCATTTCTTCTAGGTTACCTAGTTTGTTACCATAAAATTTTTTCATGGTATTCTTTCATAATTCTTTGTATTTCTGTGGTGTCCATAGTGATTTTTCCTTTCTCATATCTGATTCTGTTTATGTGTGTAGACTCTCTTTTTTCCTTGCTATGTCGGGCCAGGGGTTGACCTATTTGATTAATTTTCTCAAAGAACCAGTTCCTGCTTTCATTGATTCTTTCTACTGTTTTACTCTTCTCAATTTTATTTATTTCTGCTCTAATCTTTATTATGTCCCTCCTTCTACTGACTTTGGGCCTCATTTGTTTTTCCTTTTCTACTTTCATTAATTGTGAGTTTAGAATGTTCATTAGCAATGGTTATTCTTTCCTGAGGTAGGCCTCTCTATTGCAATATATTTCCCTCTTAGCAGAGCCTCCTCTGCATCCCACAGATTTTGTGGTTTTGAATTATTGTTGTCATTTGTCTCCATATATTGCTTGATCTCTGTTTTTATTTGGTCATTGATCCATTGATTATTTGGGAGCATGTTCTCAAGCCTCCATGTGTTTGTGGGCTTTTTTTTCTTTGTGTAATTTAGTTCTAGTTTCATATCTTTGTGATCTGAGAAGCTCGTTGGTACAATTTCAATCTTTTTGAATTTACTGTGGTTGTTTTTGTGGCCTAATGTATGACCTATTCTTGAAAATGTTCCATGTGCAGTTGAGAAGGACATGTATCCTGTTGCTTTTGGATGGAGTGTTCTCTAGATGTCCATTAGGTCCATCTGTTCTACTATGTTGTTCAGTGCCTCTGTCTCTTGAGTTATTTTCTGTCTGTTTGAACTGTCCTTTGGACTGGGTGGAGTGTTGAAGTCTCCTAAAATGAATGCATTGCATTCTACTTCCCTCTTTAATTCTGTTAGTATTTGTTTCACATATGTAGGTGATCCTGTATTTGGTGCATAGATATTTATAATAGGTATACCCTCTTGTTGGACTGCCCCATTTATCATTATGTACTGTCCTTCCTTGTCTCTTCTTACTTTCTTTGGTTTGAAGTCTCTTTTATCTCATACAAGTACTGCAACTTCTGCTTTTTTCTCCCTATTAGTTGCATGAAATATCTTTTTCCATCCCTTTCCTTTCTGTTTGTATATGTCTTTGGATTTGAAGTGAGTCTCTTGTAGGCAGCATATAGATGGGCCTTGTTTTTCCATCCATTCAGTGATTCTATGTCTTTTGATTGGTGCATTCGGACTTTTTACATTTACGGTGATTTTTGACAGGTATGTACTTATTGCCATTGCAGAATTCAGATTTGTGGTTACCAAAGGTTCAAGGGTAATTCCCTTACTATCTAACAGTCTAATTTAACTCTCTTCATGTCCTATGAAAAACACAACCGAATGGTTCTTTTTTCCCGTCCTCCATTCTTTGTATGTGTTGAGCCATATTCTCTACTCTTTGTCTATCGCTTGGGTGACATCTGTTTAGCCTTTGGAATACTTCCACCTATAGGAGTCCCTCCAAAATGCACTGTAGAGGTGGTTTGTGGGAGGTAAATTCTCTCATCTTTTGCTTATCTGAAAATTGTGTAATCCTTCCTTCAAATTTAAATCATAACGTTGCCAGGTATAGTATTCTTGGTTCAAGGCCCTTCTGCTTAATTGCATTAAATACATCATGCCACTGCCTTCTGGCCTATAAGGTTTCTGTTGAGAAATCTGATGATAGGCTGATGTGTTTTCATTTGTATGTGATCTTTTATCTCTCTGTGAGTGCTTTTAAAAGTCTGTCTTTATCCTTGATATTTGCCATTTTAATTATTATATGTCTTGATGTTGTCTTCCTGGGGTCCCTTGTGTTGGGGCATCTGTGCACTTCCATGGCTTGAGAGACTATGTCCTTCCCCAGATTGGGGAAGTTTTTGGCAATTACCTCCTCAATGACACTTTCTATCCCTTTTTCTCTCTTCTTCTTCTGTTACTCCTATAAGTAGAATATTGTTCCATTTGGATCAGTCACACAGTTATCTCAATACTCCTTCATTCTTAGAGGTTCTTTTTTCTCTCTGTGCCTTGGTTTCTTTGTATTCCTCTTCCCTAACTTCTATTCCATTTACCTTCTCTTCTACTACCTCCTTTCTGCTTTTAAATCCCTTCATTGTATGTTTCATTTCAGACAGGGAATTTCTTAATGATTGAATCTGCAACATAAATTCGTTCTGAGTTCTTGAATATTTTTCTGTACCACCATAAGCATGTTTATGATTTTTATTTTCAACTCTCTTTCAGGAAGATTGGTGAGTTTAATTTCATTTGTCCCTTCTTCTGGGGTTTGTTAGATTTGCATCTGAACCAAGGTCTTTTGATGTTTCAGATTTCTATGTGGTGCCCTTCAGTGCTCAGAAACTCGTTTCTGGAGCTGCTCAGCTCCTAGAGTGATCTTGGGTGTTGTAGGGAAGAAGAGCTGGTGCCTCGGGGGGAGGAAAGAGCTGTTTCCTGATTTCCGTCTGTGGTGCCTGTTTCGGATGTCAGAGCCAGTGGGCCGAGCACACAGGTGTAAGCTTCTTTGATTTGCATCTCTACCTGTTGTAGACACGCCGTCCGTTTGGCTGGCCTGACTCCAGCACACTGAGTGTTGTTTTGCAAACTTTTGCTGTCAGGCCAGGAGAAAGGCTCGCCAGGTGGCGTACCACAGTGGGGGCCTCAGAGCTGAGTAGGCAGCCAAGGGGATGGAGTGACTGAAGCTCCTCAAAATTCCCAACCAGCTGTGCGGAGCACACTCAGACAACACTGTCCAGCTCTCCCCTCCCCAACACAGCAGCTCTGTGAAAATCCCACCACTTCAGCAGCCCTCTTGTGACTAGGAGGCCTCTCAGACTGCCACCTTTACTTTGTCTCAGAGCAGTGGGCTGTGGATCCCATCCTCCACAAGCAGCCGGAATCTCAGTCCCCCAGGCACTCTGCCTGTACCAGCTCTCCACCCTCCAGAGCACCATACAGTGTAGGTTTCTGCATGCAAGGCAGACCTCCAGCACTGGGCGTTCAGCACTCCCAGGGCTCCACACCCTCCATTACTCCATTTCTCCTTCTCCTGCTGGTGAGCTCAGGTGGGGGAAGGGCTTAGGTCCCGCTGGATCAAGGAACTGATGTATTTCATATGTTATCCTGTTTGGTGAGGTCTGTTCTTTTCATGAGTATTTCATATGTTACCCTGTTTGGTAATGTCTGCTCTGTTCGTGAGGTCTCTGTGCATTTTCGTGCAGCCTTTCCTTCTGTTCTTGTTTTAGGGTTCATGTTTATGGTTTTATTATCCATATTATCGCACTATCTGTAGTTTGGGGAGTATTTCTCTGTATCACCTCTCATGCCACCATCTTGAATTACCTACTCAATGAATATTGTCTTGAGAGGCAATGTGAGTGTTCAGTAGGCAACTCTGAGTACTGTATGCCTTACATAGGTCAATATTTTAATCTCCATGTTCAAAATCCTATGCCTCAGTGTCTCATCAGGTACCATGACAAATAAAAGGCTGAAGTGACATCCTTCCTTCACTCTGGGGAATCAGAGAACCTTGGATTGTAACTTTCCAAACTGCCACAGTGAGTGATAGTGTTCTCAGGGTGTGAGAGGGTCCTGGGAGAGAGACCGGCATGTTGCTGCGATCCAGGGATGCATGCAGATGTAAGCCTTAGAAGATGAGCAGGGTGTGTTCAGGGCAATAAATTCCCTACCTGCTTATAATCCACTGCACTCCCATTGTGCCACCTCCCACCCCTCTTCTACCACCTCCCCCAAATGGCCAAACAGGAGAGCCTTACAAAGTGTTCAGTGCCCTGCCACTGAGTTTAAAGAGAGGAGTCAAGCATTCTAGTGAGGATGAGAATGGCCGAATTTGACTAAACTGGAAGAAAATTAATTTTATGGTATGCTTTCACATCTCAATGCCTCTCTACCATCACCGAGACTATATAGTTGAAGCAGCTGTTTCTCCCCACAGGACAGACACAGAAATTGAATTTCAGAAAGTTTTGATGGCATAGACAAGGTCACCACAGGAGAGAGAACAAGACAAACTAGCAACTACTCTGCACTTTGGTTCTGAGTGCCGACATCTGAGTGTCTCCACAGAGGTAAAACAGGAGCCTGGAAAATTTCCAGGTACAAATATAAGAAAGGCAGATAATTCCTCTTCTCAGGTTTTCCTCACCCTGTCTTTCCTAATTGATCACAGGGTCCAGAAAATACCTCAGCATGAGAAGTGACAATGAGAGCTTCTTGGGGGATACCCCAAACTATTTCATCCTTCTAGGTGTTTCTGACAGACGGTGGCTGGAGCTAACCCTATTTGGGGTCCTCCTGGTGTCCTATGTTCTGGCCATGTTGGGGAACATTTCCATCTTCTTGGTATCGAAGCTGGATCCTCTGCTGCAGAGCCCTATGTACATCTTCCTGAGCCACCTCTCCTTCCTGGACCTCTGCTACACCACCACCACGGTCCCGCAGGTGCTGGTCAACACAGGCAGCTCCAGGAAGACAATCAGCTACGGTGGCTGCACAGTGCAGTATGCGGTTTTCCACTGGCTGGGCTGCACCGAGTGTATCCTCTTGGCCGCCATGGCCCTGGACCGTTACGTGGCCATCTGTGAGCCCCTGCGGTATGCTGTTATCATGCACCGCACCCTCTGCCATCAGCTCGTGCTTGTGTCCTGGATCAGCGGCTTTGGAAACTCCCTCGTTCAGGTCATCCTGACTGTGCCGTTGCCATTCTGTGGGAGGCAGGTGCTGAACAACTTCTTCTGTGAGGTGCCGGCCATGATCAAGCTGTCGTGTGCTGACACCAATGTGAATGACGTCACACTGTCTGTGTTGGTGGCCTTCTTTTTGCTGGTACCCCTTGGTCTCATCCTCCTCTCCTATGGCTTCATTGCCTGTGCGGTGCTGAGGATCCCATCCTCCACTGGACGGCACAAAGCCTTCGGGACCTGCTCCTCTCATCTGGTGGTGGTGTCCCTCTTCTACTTTCCTGCCATGTATATGTACCTGCAGCCCCCTTCCAGCTACTCCCAAGATGTGGCCAAGTTTATCTCTCTGTTCTATTCCATCATCACCCCCATCCTCAATCCCTTCATCTACACCCTGAGGAATAAGGATATGAAAGGAGCACTGAGAAGACTCCTGTCAAGGATCTGGGGTCTTTACAGACAAAGAAGTTCTAGGAGACAGTTTCAAAAATGTGGCAAATAGGACTTCAAGAAGGAAAACACTTCCCTCATTCACACCAAGAAAACAACTACCAAAAATACAATCAAACCTGAAAATAACATGAATACAACAGAGCATACCATGTCCACCCAGTGAAGAAGAGAAGACAATGTTGAGAAGGGTAAAGTTGCAGACACGTGACGAATCAGTGTCCTCATCCCTTCAACATTCCAGTCCTCCACGAGGTGGGAGAGGGACAGAACAGGAAGGGGGTGATTGCTCAGGAATCCAGCGTACATGATGCTGAGGTCTGCTCTGAGATCGTGCCCCCACATTGCATTGGCCTTTGTTGATTAATGGGGCTAGGCATTGGGGAGAGCTGGGGCACTCTGTGGGGCAAAGACTCCTGACCCTTGTTGAGCTCATGCATGTTCCATGGTTGCTGCAGAGACCCAATATGGAGGTCACGTTTGAAACATTTAACAGCAGTGGGAAGTTGTTCAGAGGGGAGGGAGTCAGATGAAACTCTCCAGAGGCAAAATGGAAGGTGGAAAGTGGTTCCGCAGCCTCTCTCAGGACAACTGTTATGCACTCATGGGAGCCAGCTTCAAGTGCTCCATCTCACTTGCTGGTGTTCCAGCGTTGTGGTTGTGCAAAGCTGCAGACCGACCCTTTTAAGTCTGTTCTGCCCAACAGTGTTCTGACTTTGCTGCTCAGCAGATGGAGGGAGGACACTTCCTGGATTTTCTAGCCCTCCTTCTGCCCAAATGGTCAGGCACATGTGGAAGTCAGTTCTAGATTCTCCAGCTCCATCACTTGTGGCTCAGACTCATAGCAGGTCTTCACTGTTCACTTGCTCCTCATAGTACACTGAGCCCAGATTGGGGAGCCCCTGCCAAAGTAGACAGAATTCAGACCCACTCACAATGTGTCAAAGAAGAAGGGCTTTACTCCACACAAAGGGCAAGAAGAGGTGAATCCTCTGCTGTCAGAGATCAGTGACTAGGCAGAATATTGGCCCTTCCCACAGCTCACCAGCAACAACCTTGGACCCACTGCAATAGAGAATCTGACACTGGTGAGCAAGAGTCTTCAGCTTCTGGGCAACACAGGATCCCCAGTTCACAAAGCCAATACATTTGAGATCAGGAGGCATAGCTCATCTATCCTTGAGAAAGGAAAAAAATAGAAACCCGACAAAAAGGAAACATTTATATGTTCCAAACAAAACAGTGAGATAAGGTACCAGAAAGAGGGCTAAATGAAATGCAGATTATGAATACTTTGATAAAAATTTCAACTAGCTCTTACAAATAGGCTCACTGATCTGGAGACTATAATTGATAAACTCAGTGAGAAGTTTATCAAAGAGAGGGATATTTGAAAAAGAGCCATTCAGTGTTCTAGAATACAGTAACCCAAATGAGAATTACAATGTTGGGAATGAAGTAGATACTGCTGGAAGTAGAGGAAAGAATCAATGACATGGAAAACAGAGAAGATGGAAACAACCAACTTGAGGAACAGAGAGAAAACCTTTTCTGAAAATGGGAAAATACTAAGAGATCTGTGGGATTACCCCAAATGAGAGAATATCTGCATGAATGCAGTCCCAGAAGGGTAAGAGAGAGACCTAGGGTAGAAAGAAATAACAGCTGAAAGCTTTCCCAATCAGAGGAAGGGAACAGATGCCCAGGTCCTGGGAGCTCTGAGGGCCCATAACAAAAGGAACCCCAGGAAGACACCACCAAAACAAAGAGTAATTAAAATGGCAAAGATTAAATATGAAGAGAGAATCTTTAAAGGAGCAACAGTGAGGCAGACAGTTAACTATGGAGATACAATTAGGCTTTCAGCAGATTTCTCAGTAGAAAGTTACAGGCTAGAATGGAGTGACATGAAATATTTAATGTACTGAAAGAGAAGAACTCACAAGAAAGACTCTTTTACCCAGCCTTCTTATCACTCAAACTAATGGGGAGCTAGAAAGTCTCCCAGATAAAAATAGGATAAGGAATCCACCACCACTAAGCAGGCCATATGATAAAGGGACTTCTGTGGATGGAATTATTCTAAATTCTATTTTCCTATCAGTGAGATAAATCAGTAAATGAAGGATACCAGTAACTTAACTTTGTCCTTGGTTAGCAGATGAATTACTAACCAAGAGTGAAGTTAAGAACTAAACAAAGAAGTAAAATCAACTGTATACAAAATCGGCAAAGCAATACAAAAAAGTTTTATATTATGACATTGTATACATAAAGTGGAGGAGGAAGAAGAATAAAAAGTAGTATTTTCATTTTGTGTACAAAATAGAATGACCATCAACTTAATGGAATCTCTTATATGCTTAGGAAGCTATCTATGGAACTTATAGTAACCACAAACCTAAAGCCTAATGGTAGACATACAAAACATTTTTCCTAAAAAATGAAAATAAATCCAAGCATAACACTAAAGAGAACAAAGAAATAACAAGAGAAGACTAAGAGAGGGGAAGAATGAAACAGACAGGAAGTACAAAACCAACCAGAAAAAGTTAATGAAATGTCACTAATTATATACTTATCAGTAATACCCTTAAAGGTAAATGGACTAAATGCAACAAACATAAGATGTAGCATGGGTTGAACTGTGGCAGAATGGTAAAAGAATCCACACCCGTCCATACGCTATCTACTGGTGACTCTTTTCAGACCTAAAGACATACCTAGATGGAAAGTGAATGGATAGAAACAGACGTTTCATGCAAATGAAAGAGATAAAATAGCAGGAGTACCAGCAGTTTTATATCAGACAGGATGGACTTCAAAACAGGAACAGGAAACAGAGAAGGACCTTATGTAAGGATGACGGGGTCAGTCCAGCAAGAGGATATAACAATCGCAAATACCTATGCACACAACATAGGATACCTACGTACATAAAACAAATACTATTGGGCCCAAATGGAGAAATAGCAACACAGACATAGTGGGGCACATAAACATCCCACTTACATGAATGGACAGATCACCCATACAGAAAATGAATAAGGAAACAGACGTGTTGAATGGCACATCAGAATGTTAGAATAGCAGCTAGATAGACATAAGCAGGAGGGGAGGAAAGAGTGAAGCAGACCACCGAGTCTACACCCAGAGCGCACCCTGTGACCATAGACAAACACTCCCTGCAGTTTAGCAAAGACTAATAAGTAAAAGGGTTATGAGGGACGTATCCACTTTTGGACATGTGCACTTAAGGAAAACCTGCTCAGCTAGTAACCCCAAGGTCACTATAACATTATTGTAATATAATTAACGCTGTGATTATGGTCACCCTTCTGGTCTCCCTTAGACATTCCTGGGGGCCATAAACGTGCCAGAGGTTGGAGGGGAGGAACAAAGGTGAATCCAAAGGCTGGTATGATAATGAAAAAATGAGGAGGAGGAAAATTTAAAGAAAAATAAATAAAGCCCCATAAAAAGCACAGTGAAAAATTCAGCTCTTGATACCCATCTTCAGGGCCACCCGCTCTGTCTCTGGAGTGTCCTCTCCTTTTGCTTGTTTGAAAAGAAACCCTTTGTGTATTTAACACTCTATCAAGTCTTTCAACTGAATTCTTTCCATCAGGAAGACAGGAGCCAAGGAATGTCACAATCTACCACACAACCACAAGACCAAGATGGACTCACACACATATACTGAAGGATCCACCCAAAAGCAGCAGGCTACATATTTTTCTGAAGTGCACATGGAGCATTCCCCAGAACAGATCAGATATTAGTGCATAAAAGGAGCCTTAATAAACTATAAAACATTGAAATTGTTTCAAGCATTGTCTCAGATCACAATGGTATGAAATAAGAATTCACTTATGTGACCACCCAGTCTCCACCCAGAGACCACCCTGTGACCTTATAACAGTATAAGTTTATTTGCTTTCCATATGACATTTGTCTTACACCATTTCTGGTTTCCATATAAACCATGGACTAATGTGTAAATCAAATATGACATTAAAAAAATACATGGACACAAATGAAAGCAGGTAAAAAATAGTTCTAGCTATGTGGGATCTCACAAAACTGTTTATAAAAGGGAAGTACAAAGCAAAGCATGCTTAGTGTTAGAAGAAAGAAGAATTCCAAATGAACGATCTAAACACACAGCTGAAGAGACAAGAAAAAGAAGACGACATGAACCCCAACGTAAGTACAACAATGGAAAATGTAAACCAGAGCAGAAATAAATAATAGGGAGAAAATGAAAAAAATAGAAAAATAAAAACAAGGAATAAAGTTGGTTTTTTGAGATCAACAGCTTAGAGAAACCCCTAGGTAGACATAGCAAGAAAATAGAAGAGGACACAAGTAAACAAAATCAGAAACAAAGAAGTCAGAATTGACAACACAAACATAAAGAATTATAATAGATTTCTATGAAAAATTACATGCCAATAATTGGAACAATCTAGAAAAAGTGAGAAAATTCCTGAAACATACTATTTTGCAAGACTGACAGAGGAAGAAACATCAAATCTGAACAGACTGATTATCAGTAACAAAATTGAATTAGGAACCCCCAAACTTTCAGGAAACAAAACTCAACACCAGATGGCTTCACAACCGAATTCTACTGAACCTTAAAGAAAAGCCAATACCCATCCTCAAATTATTCCACCAATTAGAAGATGAGGGAATACTTCCAAACTCATTCTATGAGGCCAACATCACTGGAATACCAAAACCAGGCAAAGACACTAAAAAGAAAGAACAAAATTACAGACCAATGTCCTTGAAGAGCATACATGCAAGGATATTAAAAAAGAATGTAGTAGCAAAATGAAATCAAGAATACATCAAAAGGATCATTCATCATGACGAAATGGGATTGAATTCACGGATGCAAGAATGGCACAATACTCTTACATTCATCAATGTGATCCGTCACATTAACAAAGGAAGGATAAAAATCATATCTTAATATATATTTGGGAAATTACCCATAAGGTAACCACAAACCTAAAGCCTGCAATAGATGCACAAACATAAAAA